CTCAGTGGAATGAAATTTAGCCCAGCTAATGGGTAATGCTCTGAAGACTTGACAAAGAAGTCCCAATTGGAGTGCTGACTGGGTTATTATGTTATATTTTTTTGGCATTAAACTTATCTTACTGCTTTACACTCTAACATCAGTATGCATATACTCCATACTGTTCTCTTAACATTTTTTTTGAGGTAATGGCTGAGAGAATTTGTTTTTTTAATTTGATTTGATTTTGATATAAGGGTTATAATGTAAGAAGAAATTAGATACTATGCATATTGAACTCTCCCCATGCTTGTCTCCTCTTGGGGACATAAAGAAATGATTATTGGCAAACTATTGTAAAAGCCTGACAAAAGCTTATTAGGATAACCCTGAGATGGATTGGCACCCTTCTGGCTTCATGCAACAGAAACCAGGATTGGCTCCACTTGGATGGGCCACCCAGCTTAAGTGCAAAATTAACCTATTCCTCTGAGCACCATTTCAATCAAATTTTTTTGACCTTATTGAAGTTTTTTTTAATAGCTCTCTTCTTATGTGCTGCTTGACCAGTAGGTAGAACACAGTCATGGTGATGTATGTCATGATGGCCCAGCCCTCTCCTGTAATAGTTGTCCAGATACACATTGTCTGGCAAGTTTTTTCATTCCGGATTCAGCACTTGTACCCAGTTTCAAGGTCTGCCAAGAGTTAACTTAACTATTGAAGAAATAAGCAACCACAGTGATCACAAAAGGTACTCCCCAAGCCGTTACGTGAAAAACATTAAAAACAATCTTTCTGATTTCATGGAAATTCTTCTACAAATTGTTAAGTAAAAAAAGAAGGACAAATGAACTGTCCAAATAAGCTATGAAACAAGCGCCATAATTCGTGGTAGTGTCACCTCAAGTGTTGGAACGAAATAACCTGTTGATCCCGATGTGTCTTCCAAATAATCTATGATGGTTGTGCCAGCAAATAGGAAATCGGCGACTGACGAAGGCCTCTGACGAAGGGCTAAGGCTCGAAACGTCAGCTTTTTTACTCTTTACGGTGGCTAATTTACGTTTTCAACCCAGTTGTTAACACTAAATTACCTGCTATACTCTCCCACCGATGCAGCACCATAGTTTCTTTAGAAACTTACCCCTTTATTCATTTGTTATAAACATGATCATTCTGCGAGCTGTAGTTCGCAAGTCGGGCGACATCCAGAACGTGAGAAAGATTGTGAAGGATCCCATGAGCGGGAGGGAAGCTGTAACAGTAGACAAGGTCTTAGGAAGAGTTCCGTCCGTGAAATTTGTGTCATTATGACCCGATTGGCGAGAATACAGGCTAAACACCCAACAGCGCTGGTGCTTTTTGTGTTTTGGCGTTTGCTCGCTAAAAAGTCCTAGAAAAAGTTTTCACTGTCTATTAAATTATTGATTGTTTTCATTTCTCGGGTTCTTCTTTAAAACCAGAACTCGGTTCTTAGAGACTTGTTCAAGTACTGCTCTTATTTAAGAGTGCTTATTTAACTCAGATCGAGATGCCACTATATTTTTCGACTATATCAACTCTAGGCACCCTAACATCAAGTTCACTATGGAAAAGCAGGTTAATCACAAATTACCCTTTTTAGATGTCCTGATTGACAACCATGACTCCAGTTCCTTTCTAACTAGGGTTTACCGCAAGAAAACTTTCACTGGGTTACTAACTAATTATTTCAGCTTCACCTCGTACTCTTACAAAGTGGGTCTCATTAAGACACACGTTGAAAGGGCTTACAAGATTAATAGCACCTGGTCAGGGTTTCACGAGGACATTAACAAACTCACTGATATTCTAAAAAAGAATCTTTTCCCTGCTCATTTAATTAATCGAGAAGATTATAAACCGTTTCATTACTGGGACTCAAAACAATCATCATCCCCGGGGTTCCCCTCCTACCACTTCACCTACGTTCCAAATGGAGACTTGACAAAACCGATCCCCACTGTTCTATTGTACTGTCAAAGGCTTTTTTCGTTGTTGATTTGCAAATTAAAGACAGATTTCACTGCTGAGAGTCAATCACTTTGCATGGGGTGTCCGCCTACGAGAGCGCGTGAACAAAAGAAAAAAAGTCAAATTTCGCTCTCAATAGTGTCCGCTTCCGCTTACGAGAGAATGTCCGCTTACAGCAATGTGTACATACAGAGTTTGATTGGGAGGCACAACGGAGATTGAAGTCTGTACATATATATATATATTGCATGATCTCCACCGATATAAATTGCAGTCCTCCATCATTGTAAACTGCAGAAATTGTGGAAAACTTTAATTATAATAATGTCTCCACTGCAACCTTAGAGGTATCCATATTTCATAACTTAGGAGCAGAATATTTGGCTAATTTAAAGACAAATTTAGAACGAATAGGTTACTCTTTCGAACTTCCAAACGCAATTAAGAGTAAATTTTTTTGGCATATATATCTCTTTTTTTGCAGAGATAAAATTTACACCGTTTCTGAAGCTAGTTTCTCCTTTAAAAAAAAACTTACTTTTGAGTCCTTTTAGCTTTCTTCAGGAGCACTTGTGTGGTACATTGAGTCCCAATCTCTCTCTCTCTCTTGCAGTTCATAACTTCCAACAATCCACGATGAAATAAATAGCAGACTGAAGATCTTATCCGAATGACCAGGAACATTAACCTCGGTCGCTTTCTTTTCGTATGAGGAGTGTCCACTTTTGTGATCACGCACACATTCAGTGGCTCTGTTCCAACTGGAATCGGTTATATCTTTTCACTGTTAACCTTCAAAAAAATGGAAGAAAGAAACAATTGTGAAAATTAGAAATCACTAACCTTTAATTCATCACAATTTTAGCCATAGATTTCCTATAAATGCTGAATACATCGGTGATAGTCTAGATAGACGATGTTTCGTCATTTATATACGTCCACTGTGTTTCAGGATACACCATGTGTGATTTTGGATAAAATTAGATTTAGGTGGTAATGTTTCTAATGATATCGAATTCGAAATATAGGAAACGTTTAAGAAAATAAATACGTATGAGGTGACAAACATTGAATCGTAAAGTAATTGTGGGAAATTTCTGCCCATAACACTGGTTTTCTGCTCCTTCCGCGTAAAAATTTAATCGTGCTGCTACTCTCTCATATCTAATACTGTAGTTTCTTTTACCATGTTGTAACCTGGAGGTCCAGTGTCGTACGCCAAAGTCTTTCTCCTCTCGCGTCAACCAATCTAACAAACAGTTCACACCAGCCTAAGGTTGTTTAGAATTGTGAGTTTTTGATATCTTGGTGAAGTGAAGAGTCGAAATAAGCTAAGCTGCGCATGACAGTAAAAAAGATTGTTGGAATTCAAGTAGCTTTTATTCAAAAGCGCGAAATGTATGCGTACACCAATGAACGCTCATTATTCCCTATTCTACCTCTGCAGCACCTCTTTGCTTTTCTTTGACATTTGCATATGAGATGAATATTTCTCTACCTTGGCCTGCATGGGTGACACATTTTTTTACCAAAGAAAGCTTGATTTGAATAACGCGCCGATTACACACATTAGATTTTTCTGCAAGTAAAATTCTTGTTTTTTTTTTCTTGTACGCGTCCGCGAGAGGCCGTTCTAAAACAATCAATGTCATTTACATTGTTACATCTAACCGCAATCGAAGAAAAAAGTTATTTCTTCGGTTCTTTTTTTACAGTCTGTTGATTCAAACGGTAAAAAAATTTCTTTTCAGAGACGATGATTTTTTCAAAATTTCTATATTATGCTGACCATATTTACTTGAAATTTTACAAGGAAAATTTTTGTTTTTTTAATTTCTTGGCACGCGCGGGCGAGAAGCCATGATGAAGTGATTTTGAATATGGCATATCAGCAACCACTGAGAAAATTATATCTTTATGTCATTAATTTTAGGTTGTTTACTGGAAATTTCATTTAATAGCGCATAGTCTAATCAATAATGACAAGAAACTACGTCAATGTATCAGGAAAATACCGTTTAGCCACAAGATGTAAATCAAGGATAACTTCTGAAAGCAAAGCAACGGATATTCAACATAGCAGTCGAGGCAGAAAGTAAGTAAAGCTTGCTAATCTTTTCAACCTTCGCTAAAAGAGCAATCCTTGGGGAAAAAAAAGTTTATCGATCAAAATGTTTTAAGCAAAATAATGATTTTAGCAATTTTTTACCAGAATTAGCAGAACCAGCCCTTGAATTGCAAGAAACTCGGTAACTCAATAGTGCCCAGTTCATGCTCTTGTTCAGCAAGCGTCCACCATTTTATTATTTGGTAAAATTCTAAAGGCGGCCAAGGACGGGAGAGCAATTCTACTAAGGAAAGGCGCTGAGGCACAACGCTTCTAACCTATGACAGGCCTAAATGTTTGCTCTCCTTCTCTCTCTCGTTCATGATTAAAAGGAACCCCCCCCCCTCCCTCTTGAACCTGGACCTTTACATTTCGGGCTCCGATGCTCTAAAACTGAGGTCACGTGGTTCATGTGCCCACAACTACAGTCAGCAATGTCGTCGAAAAGAGACCTTCCGGTACCCAACTCTTGCTTGTGTAGGTGTATGCATTTGCTTTGTCTTTGCTGAGAATGCCGTGCACACAAGTTTTCTTCCACTATCTTAGCAACACTAATAAAACCCATAAATCTATTCAAAAATCAAAGAGCTTCAAACCGAGTATTGCGAGGATGGGAGGAGTTTGGGAAGATCCATTTAGATTCCAAATAAGGGCGCGTGATTTGTAATGATAAGATTGCTCTATCGCCAATTCTGTACTGTTCCCTTCCATGACAGAAAAACAAAGATCAATTATTTCAAAAATTATTTTAATGCATTTAAAATTAATTTCAAAGCACGAATGCTTAGAAAATACAGTCATTTATTTACATAAGGCAAGCACGCCCTTTTGAAAAAGAAAAACCTTAAACATTATCACAATTGCATGTAAATTTTTCAATGATGATGAAAAATAAATATCTTATATCATCACACTTCACTCAGTTTGCCAATATAGTTCTCCCACAAAACATTAACCATTGCAGTGAAGGATTGAAACTGTATTTGGTGATCTGTGTGCAGAGAGGTTCCGCGTAGAATGGTCAACCTCAGCCCCAGTACTGGTGCGATTGAACTGTGGATCTCCACTCGTTTCAAAACGTTTCTCCATCCCAGAGGTGTTCACCCTGCGATTAAATGTAAGAAACACTTTCATTACTAAATAACCCATTGAAAGATAACAGGCTAAAGGTTTGGGAACGTGAAGAAACAGCACATAAGATTTTAGTTTTTGCACAGTGAGAATTCCGTTATCATCACGTTAGTGTTAATTATGGGATCTCTGAGGATCCTAGACCTATTTTCAAATTTTCTTGTTTTTACTTATCTTGGTGATAAAACTGCCAAGGAATATCCTCGTGAATGAAAATTCTGGCTTAAAGACCTATTTTGAAATTAATATCGGTCAATTTTTTAAAATTTGCTTTTTTTACTTATCTCGGTGATAAAACTGTCGAGGAATATTCACGCGAAAGAAAAGGCTGTCTAAAAGGGATCTCTATTCGCTGGCGAAAATCTTCTTTATGCTCTGTTTGACCATCAACCCCTTTCATCAATACCAAGCCTTCTTCATGCGGGGAAATCTTCGAGTTAGCAACAATGAAAGGCGACAAAAAAGATAAATTCTAAAACAGTTATGACGAGAGTTATAGCTCTACCTAAAAACCATGTTGTTATATTTTAGAAACGATAAAACATTACTGACCATTTATGCTTAGTGTCTCCCTGACAATTTCCATCGTCAAAAAATGTTATTTTGTATGGAGCAGCTTTTACTCTCTTGGTTTCCAAGGTGCTAAACGTTCTTTCCTGTAAATGGTATGAAAACAAAATAATTAATTACACGCCTAAAACTGCGCATGTCAAAATTTTAGCACGTCAATTAATTCCAAAAGTGCAGAAGGTTAAAGGTGACAGCACAAAATCATATGGTTTCCATATTCATCATCTCGCGCTTTCGCATTGCTCTCGCACTTTGCAAGGAAAATATCTCACCTCACACGGTGACTCAGAAGGCTTGTTTTCGAACCCGTTGTGCAATAACTCAGTCCTGAACTGCCTACTATTCTCCCTTGTCAGTTTGGCCATCTCACGTTCTGCTGAGCCAATTGTCAACAGGAGCGGGCTCTCCTTTTCATTTTCCACGTACTGTGTCTCCTCTAATAGGTTAAGTTCATGTAATAATTTTCCTTGAAAGGCTGCTAAGTTTTCCTCTTGCTCTGCCTTTTCATCTTCAAGTGCAGGTAACGGAGCTGCAGCCCCCTGAAGGTCTATCTTCGTGTCCCAGAATTGTTTACCTTTGGTATTCAATTCTTTCAAACTAGAGTTCACTTTCACGTGTGGGGCTTTCTGTTCTTTTTCTGCGAAGAATCTCTCGTTTTCCAGACGTGCTGTAGCAGTTAACAATGCTTTTTGAAATTTTTCCTTCTCGCTCCTAGCACATTCAAGTCGAGTTGACAAGCGTCTCAATTCGTTTTGCATCTCTTCCGCATCTAGTGTCTTTCTCATTGCACAAGTCTTAAGGTTAGCACATTGTTCATTTTGCTTCTCGACGATGGATGTAGCAGTATCTAACTCTTTTTTCACTTCTCCAAGGTTGGCCTCAATACGGGTTATCTCTAAGCCTTTGTCCTTGTTAGCTTGAGTCAATTCTTTGCTCCTTAGACATAATTTGGCTCCCAAGGTTGTGAGAAGCGAGCATTTCAATCGCAAGGTTTCATTTACGTCATCAAGGCCGACTTCTCTTTCTTTTAGGTATTTATGCGTTTTTTGAAGATCTTCTTGCAGTTGTTTGGTAGTTGTTTCTAGCGCTCTTACTTTGCCATCCTTTTCTCCAAGACGCTGTTTGAGATCGGCATTTTCAAATTCACTGTCTTCAAGCTGCCGTCGCATGGACGAGAATTCCTTATCACTGTAGTTAAGGTTACTCCTCAAATCATCCCTTGATTTTTCTAACACACGTCCTGTGCTGATTTCTTTTCCTTTCACTTCCTCTTGTCTACGCACCAAGTTCTTCAGCCTTTTTCCCACGTGTGCCATTATCGAACCCTTCTCCTGTGTATCTCTCTTAGTCCCTTTTTGAACGAGATTCAGTCGATTAGCGGTGCCCTTTCTAGCCTTAACCTTCCTCTTGAAACACTTTTTGTCCGGCTTTTCGAGTGTTATTTGTTGAGTTAACTCTTTGATCTCCTCATGAGCCGCCTCCAATGACCTTTCTTTCTCTCTAAGAGACCTTGGAGTCTTCTCTCGTAGATCATCCATCTCATGTAACTGCTCCTCTAGTTTTTCAATTTTCTCAGTCATTTCTTTTTCGGCATAGGAGTTACTCTCATACACTTCGAGAGCCCTTCTTAGAGTTTCTTTATCCGACTTTTCCCGTTCCAGCTGTTCAGTTAGCAAATCGATAGTGTTGTTAGCTTCCATTAGCGACCTCTTGCTGTTGTTTAGAGAAGTAAGAGTGGCATTTGTCAGGTCATCCCTCTCGCGTAGCTGACTCTCTAGATGTCCAATTCTCTTGTGAAGCTCTTTCGCTCTATGAGAACCACACTCTTTAGCTTCCATAGCCTTTTTCAAAAGCTCTTTTTCTGAACTTTCTGGTCTCACTTCAAGCACCAAGGCATCAGCTGAAGTGTTTCTTTTTATGTCCTCCATTCTTTGTAACTGAGCCTCAAGTTCTTTGATTTTTTCAGACTGCACTTCGAGGCGGTCCCTGTCACATCTTTCCTGCCTTATCTCTTCGATTAGATTTTTGATCGTTTCGTCTTGTTTCTTTATAATGCGGTTGGCTTCTTCCACTTCTTTCTCTTTGTTGTTCAAAGACGCCTTCGCCGCCTCAGTTAAATTTTTCAACTGATGCTTGTTAAATTCCACTTTTTCTTTTAGTTCAATTAACTGGACGTCCTTTTCGTATACCTTTGAAACTCTTGCGGTTAAAGAGCAGTTCTCTCTCCTTAACCTTGTTATATGATCTTCAAGTTTTCTTGTAATCCATGATTTTTCACACGTTATCTCACACAACTGCGTATCTTCTCCTGATTCCTTTGATAGTTCAGAGGACAATGTGGACTTTTCTTTTTGTAACTTTGCAATTTCATCTTGAAGATCGCTAATAGTCTTTGAAGTTTGATGAAACTGCGTCTTCGTCGTCGCCTTTTCGTTATTAAGAATCTCCATTTCTCTTTTCATGCTCTGTGCAGCATTTGTAAAGCTAGAGCGTTCTGCTTTAAACGCGTCCACTTGGCTCTCTAACAGAACTACTCGCTGTTCTTTCAATTCCAGGGATCCGTTTAGTAACTCTACTTCCTCTCGTAGATGTCCGCATCCACCGCGACTGTGTTCCATCCAATATTCTCTCTTCATTTCCTGCATCATTATCGTCAGCTCGTCAACCTCAAATGTCAGATCTTCATTTTTTTCTTGACTGTTCTTTAAGCTTTCCTCTAAGTAACCAACATTATTTAATAATTCTTTTCTTTCTGCTTGAAAAGCGTCAATTTGGCTCTTCAACAGAACAACTCGCTGTTCCTTCAATTCCAAGGATCCATTTAGTAACTCTACCTCCTCTCGTAGATGTCCGCATCCACCGCGACTGTGTTCCATCCAATACTCTCTCTTCATTTCCTGCATCATTATCGTCAGCTCATCAACCTCAAACGTCAGATCTTCATTTTTTTCTTGACTGTTCTTTAAGCTTTCCTCCAAGTACCCAACACTATTCAGTAATTCTTTTCTTTCTGCTTGAAAAGCGTCAATTTGGCTCTCTAACACAACAACTCGCTGTTCTTTCAATTCCAAGGATCCGTTTAGTAACTCTACTTCCTCGCGTAGATGTCCGCATCCGCCGCGACTGTGTTCCATCCAATACTCTCTCCTCATTTCCTGCATCATTATCGTCAGCTCATCAACCTCAAACGTCAGAATTTCATTCCTTTCCTGACTGTTCTTTAAGCTTTCATGCATGTAATCGACATCATCCCATAGATCTCCTATATCTGCCATATCCTTTTCCACGTGTTCGTTTCCTTGTTTCCATTTTTGCTCCTTGCTCTGGAGATCACGTTTTAAATTTGCCAGTTCTCTTTCTTTGTATTCTTCCTTAAACTGCAGTCGGTTTACTTCAACTTTGCTCTTATCCAAGTCAGCCTGCAAAGTTTCTATCTTCTTTCGGTACGTTTCAAGTTCCTCGGTCATGACGCTAATCTGCGTTTCGAGCTTAGTGTTTTCCCTTTTAAGTTGTTCAAATTCCATCTCGATGTTTTCTTTGTGGAGCTTTGGTTCTTCTTCTGGAAAGTTTTCTTCCGATTGCGATGCATACTCTTTCTTACTTTCAGGTTTAGCAGTTTCCAAAGCCTTGGACAACTCTTGTGGGAATAAATATCCAGAAATGTTTATGACTGCTGGAACTGAACGCTTGTATCCTGTTAAGTCGCTGCATTCATCGACATCCATTTTGCTATCTGAATCAAACTCTGGTTCATGTTTGTCATTTTGTGCCGCGCTCGTGACGGCGTTGTCATCTTTCACGATGTTATCGTCTATTTCATCTCTCTCTCTGCGGAAAATGAATTCATATCGATCAACTACATCGATGTCTCTGTTGGTAAACTCCACCATTGAACTTGCTCATTAGGTTACATAATAACTTTCATCAAAAAAGTCGTTGACTCCGGAAATCACCTCTGTAAGAAATTTAAAACTGAGCAAAAACCTTTACGAATTGAAAACTCTGGGATCGCTTAACCTTAATCTTAATAAGATCTCCGGCAGTAAGCCTGATACCTTGGGAAAATAGAGCTTAAATCACTTTTAAGCTTACTAGCCTCAGAGATAAAATTGCTACAGTACTTACAGTAAAATTCACTGATTTTAAATTGAAAAAAAGTGTGACCGCTCACCTGTACTCCTTTCTTAGCCATGCGAGCACATTGGGAATTGCCTTCTCGTCTGTGGATTTTGACTGACGTTCAAAGTCGTAGCTAAACCCACTGTCACTGAAATCTGTTTCAGTTCCCATATGGAGCTCTTCCTCATGAACAGGTGCAACGTTACACTCAAAATCTGGCGTGACTTCTACAGTTCTGACTAAGGATGATACTTCATTAGCCGAGCGTTCTTCTCGTGGTTCTTTCTCATCGATACAGATCTGTGTAATTAAGAATAAAAGGCGTTGTTTTCGTTGGAGTTGTTGAGTTTCTGGATATCACTATGATAGGGAAAACGGACAAAAACGAAGCTAGAAATTATGATCTACACGAGTGATAAGCCGTAATTAGGATACACGATTCTGTTTACGACTCAGTAGCTTTTCCTCTCAGAAACTTAATTTCTGGATTCACATTAGGATGGGAAAAAAAGGCCGATCACGACACTAAGTTCCAGATCCTCTTACGATATTTGCTCATAAAGCACTTTTCTCGCAGTCTTGCTTTAAATAATATACCTTCTTCAGATCAACCTGTTTCGGCTCTGTCTCAATGGGTGAAGGTTGTCGTGGTACACGTCGCCTGACATTTGGCTTGGTTTTCTTAGCGCGAATATAACTGCCATATTTAGCTGTAGTTGAAGTAACGGAGATTGCCCTCTTCTTGCCGTGTTTTTCTTGAGTTTCTTGCAGGTTTATACCTGTGACTAAATCAAAATTATCAATTAGTTCCCTCCTTAGAAAAATCAGAGACTATCATACAATTTCCTTTAAAAAAGCCGTGAAGTTATTACTGCACAAACTTGCCTCTAGTTTGTGTAAATGAGCATCAATTAAGTAACTGGTTTGAAATCATTGAGATAACAGGTGACTTAAGCGGCCTAAAACCGCCCCTCTCCAGTTGCGGGTCAAAATCTCAACGACTTGGGAAAGAATTTTATCCAGGAAACCGAAGTGAAAACAAATCAATGAAAATAACAGAATATGCATGAAATCAAGAGCTAAATAAATAAATAAATAGAATTGTGGTGATAAATAATGAACATTGGTAACATTCTTTTCTACAATGAAGAAGGACATAAGTTGAAAGCAAATTCTTAGTCATCAGGTTTAATATATCGAAGAACATTGGAATAAAGTCAGTCTTCTTCAGCCCTGTATAAAATGGTTACCGCAAACATTTAATTCAATTTATCTCAAAGGCTGCTCATCTTACCTACGGCGTATATTATGATACAGTCGATTTAGTAATCGCAGCCGTTCACCTGAAACCGTTTTCTAAGATTCCTTCAGTTTTTTATGCAATACTTGAATGGAAAAGTGAAGCGAGATAAATGCTGAGAAACATACCTGAATTTTTTCCAAGAAACTTTTCTCCTCGAGTTGTTTTGACATTCTTGGATAGATTGACTTTAACTTTGACTTTGTTCTTCCTATCATCCATCGGAATCGGAATCCGCGATGGCCGCTTGTTTTGAAGTTTGCTTACTGAAATTCTCTCCAGCTGCGCTTTGTTATAGGCTCCGTTCTCGGACGAAGGTCTTCTGTTACCCTCTCTGCTTAGGCGAGTCACTCTGACTGGTATTCTTGATTTTTGTTGCAGAGGAGGAACTTGATTTTGGTTGCTTTTCTTTTCGGGGTGAAGCCATGAAGCCATCGCGTCTCACCCGCGGTTTTCTCTCGCTCGATGTAAACTCCTACTCAAGAAGAGTGTTTTGTTTTTTTACTTTTTTGTTGCGTTTTGTTTTCTACGATATTTGATTTTTTTGTTTCTTTTAGATAGTTTTCCCAATTACGATTGTGAAATAATCCAACTTTCCAAAGCTTCGAATCTCGATACTGACCGCACCGATAGCTGAAGCAAATGATTTTGTTTTGAGACAAAATCCATGGAAACCATCTCTTACGAGTTTTTCGTCATATAGAGCTAGAAAACCTTCGATAGCTCGTGCACGGTGAACTTTATAAGAAATCTGGTTATTAATGTAATAAACACTAAAATTTTGCCAAGATTTCTAACTGTGAAAACTTCGAAAGTTTTTTCCCTTCGAAAAGTAGCAGGTTAACATACAAATTCCAAGCAAAAATATGAAATCGACTTGCAACCATTTTCCACATCACTAGCTGCCGCTAAAATACGGGAAACAAGTGTGCTGGCGAAAAATCTGAACTTTTGTAATAACTGGATAAAGCCCCGTGGTTTTCTTGGATTAGGATAATTGTACCTTTGCAGATTTTTTTATTTTTCCTACTCAGCTGCGTGTAGATCCATTGAAGTGATTGGAGAGGTTTCCCGTTTCATTCATCCAAAGATAACGGGTTTGACGCTTTCAGTGAATTAAAATGAGCTTCTTACTTCCTACTCAGGTCCAATGTAAAGCAAACAGACTCCATGTTCTATTTTAAGAGTTCTATCGTGTTCTGATCATTTAAATAGGAGGAATGGCGGTGTAAGGGACCGATATTCATCTTTGACCGACGAACGCGACCAGTCCACTGAACACACCGCTTTGTCACGCTTTTTTTGGCGAAAAAATCCAGCATTTCCGTTTGATCATCTAAAAAAATGTTTAACGCTGCATCAAGAGTCTACGTAACTTTGCGAGGAGGGCTGTTACCAGTAGCAATCTGTAAAATTTCAAACCCTTCAATCCTCGCAGGTTTCAATCTTCCATTCGTGTCGGCCCCAGTTTCTTTCAATCTAAACAATCTTGAAAGACAAAGGCTCAACTTTCACTTCCATCTTTTAAGCTGTTGACGACGGTAGAATAATCTCTAAAATCATTAACCTTAACTCTTGGAGTAACTAACTTCAGCATTTCAGACTTTTTATCCTGGTGGCGAATTTCAACCCGGTCAAAAGACAAGTGCTCATTTAACAAATCAGAGAAGAGGAAAAGGAAAGGTATTCGATAAATCAAGAGAGATTGTCTTGGTGTTGATTGACAGTTAGAAGAGCATATCAAAAGTTAAGCAGACTTCAATTCTGTCGTAAAGCGACCGTAGGTACAACAAAAACAACAACATCACGAAGAACTTTCTACCATGTGGCAAAGAAAAGTTTATTGGAAAATACAAAGACAACGGCTATTTACAGTTAATTCTGAGAAGACTAACATCTTAACTTTTTTGGGGGATCATGTGGACTGATTTTTTCTTTTGTACACCTTCTTGTAGTCATCTTCTGCTTGTCTTTTGTGTACTGATGTACAACACTGAAAAGGGAACACAGAACATCAGTAACGGACCTAACTTAACACTCTAACTTCTACAAGTGACCAAGGCAGAATTTCTCCTTACAACATCAAAACAATATCCAGCAGAGAAGTGATGAGAATAAAGAAAAATGTCAATTAAGGGATTATTCATTGATCCAATACCAAATTCTCTGAACTAACATCATAATAATTGAATAGCACATAGTAAGGAGAGTTACCAATGAGATCTTGGGAGTGAGAGGGTTAAATGGTTATGGTGTGAAAGTCCACACTAATACTAAAGTAGCTGGTATAAACAAACTATGAATGAAGAATGTCAATTTTTTAAATAAACATACAGTGATAGCTGGTTTGATTGATTTGGTTGTTGTTGTTTCCTTTGAAAAATGGCAATGGTCTATTGTACAAGTATTATCCCTTGTTAAGATCTTTACTTTCAATATTAAGTAGTGTCCTTTAAACAAACTTGTACTCCACTCACACCAGCAAAACATGTTTGACTGAATGAAAATCAGAAACAAAGAACTGGAAAACTGAATTTTCCATACTCAAGTTAAACTTTTATTTTAAATAAGCTAAATTTGAAGTTTTTGCTGCTTCTAGCAAGAACAAAATTTCAGACTTGCTTTAACCCTTTGGCTCCTAAGAGTGACCAGCATATAATTGCTTATGTTATCACCTCTGAATCACACATTTAGGTCACTCAAATAAAGGAAATGATCACCAATTAAAAAAACTCTTGATTATAAAACAAATTCTCCTTATAAGCACTTTAGGAAATGTATCTAAAACTACAGAGGACAGTATAGAGAATATGCAGATTAATGTCGGGGTGTAAAGGGTTAATATGACCACTTTTAAACATGTTTGAGCTTTGGTGTGTAATGGGGTATAACATCCTTACAACTATACATACCATTGTTCCCTCTCAAAAAAGCATCACCATATTTGTTTTTCAGCTGAAAAATAAATGCACACATAAAATTACTTGGCATGCTGCACAACAAAAAATATCAGTTGAAACTAAGCAGTAGTTTGTTTATCAACTTGTCTATAGACATTTCTTCGCACATAATATTTCCTCCTTACTCAAACAATTCCTTTTTTTTTTCACTCTTTAACTCCCAAGATCAGATTGTTAATTTTCCCCTCTAGCTGCCACACACTTTCTTGTAAATTTAGTTTACAATTAATAATTTGGTGTAACAATGTAGATCAAAATGACAACTTCTACCACTGATTATTGATAAATATTCTCATTATCTGTTTGCTGGATAATGTATGGTTATGAAAAGGAGAAGTTATAAGACTGTTAATTACTTCTTGGTACATTCACTCTCCCTTCTTATTGAAAAACCAATTGGAGAAAGGATGCCTCAACAAGCCACAGGCTTCAAATTCATTTTATACAGTAATGTTTTGAAAGTGCCATTGTACTGACTGAATTGGTTCTCATTCATCCAGTTAATTACCACATTTCACCCTTTCTACTAGCTCTATGGGAAAACACTACAAATTGTTCGACTTTCAGAAGTCTTGATGCAGATTGAGTTGGAGGCCAATGAGAGCTGGGCAAATTTTTTCTTGTTGCCAGCCATGGGGGATCATGACAAAAACTTATTAGGACAAGAAGACAGACGTGAAGCTAGATAGGGGGTGGGGGGAGGGGTGTGTGCAGGCAGAAGGATGAGGTAGAGGAAGTCCCTTAGGATTTAACATTGAAAAATAGCTTGATAATAATTTTAATTAAGTGATGGAGAATTCTGGAGAACAAGTGTGATCTCAGGAAGGGTCCTAAAGCTTATCCTCCTGACTTACAATTATCAGATTGCCAATAACTTTGTTTGAACCTACTTTTGGATGTCCCTTACAATACTGATTTAAAGCAGCACAAACCATGTTAACCCTTAAACCCCTAAGAGAGACCAGAACCTAATTTCTCTCTACAATATCAGCCCTGAATCAAACATTAAGGTCATGAGAATAAGGGAAATGATCAACAACTAAAGAACTCTTAACTGTTAAACAAATTCTCCTTTTCATAACCTTAAGAAATGTATTGAGCACAGTATGGAGAAAATGCATACTGATATTAAGGTATAAAGGATTAAATCAATTGGGCCATCACACCCACCATGGTATCATCTCTACCCCTCTCCATGTAACTGTTTTATGTATAGTATTTTCTTTTTTTTTTTCTTTTTTTTTATGTTTTTGCATTTTGATAGTTATTTAATTGGTAATCATGCTATAATTTCTATAAATGTAATGATATCAAGGATATGTGCTACTTTTTCAAAAGGATTACAAGTCCTCTACTCTAAAACATACTCAACTGGTTTAATACAAAAATGTGTAGAATTTCATTTAATTTCATCATTATAGACGAAATATGAGACACTTTTGGACACAATTGTAAATGACAACAATTACTACCTTTTTAAGTAATTACCCTCACAGCACAAAACTACTTATTCATTAAGACATGCATGATCTTTTAATATGCCATGTTTTAAAACTGACCATTTTAAGAACACTTTTATTATCTCTTCATGTCTTAAAGCAACTAATTTATAGTTTAGGGTTTTAGAATTTTGCAGCTTGTATTATGATATCATACCTTTTTTTAGCAGCTTATCACCTGTATTTAAGATTGATTAGTTAATAACTAGATTTGTATAATTCAATTTTTGTTATGTAAATATGCAATTCAGTTTTTGAACTGCTATGTATTTATGAATTAATAGACTTCAAACTTCAAACATTGATATGAACTAAAACAGTTCATGGACTACAGCCACACTTATCTTGAATAAGAGAACTTGTGTATGTAAATGAAACTTTGCTTACCTGCCCATTAGCATACTCCTCTGTTTGCTCTAGAGCAATGTTCATGTAACCATCGAGACAGGCCAGCACTCCTGCAAGAAATCACAGAGATTGATATTTATGTGTCTATCTGCAAACATACAACTTTAATTTACATAACAAGCTATAAAGGGAGGCAGTAAATAGAGCATAAAAATTTTTAAAAAAACAAAAGAGATGAAAGACATTCTTGCATTTCAAAAACTTTTCCAAACTCACATTCGAAACCATAGCAATACTGTATTACAGTAAAATGGTGGATTTTATGAAAAGTTGAAAAGTTGTACAGTTTTCTGCTCACATCAACACATATCAAGTATCCTTGGTTTTCATCTAACATCATAAAGATCCAAGATAATGAGGGCTATTACTGCAGATTTACCTCCAAAAGAACAAAAATCTCCTAAACATTTACCTTTCAGAAAGAGATTTCATCATTGTGCATTCTCTATTTCAAAAATTTATTGCACCTTTTCCAATTTATGAGTTTTCATTATTAGACATAGAAATAGCTGCCTGAAAAGCTGCTTTGTATGGAAAACTGAATTTTATTGTGTGACATTTTGTTCCC